TCAGGAGTTGGTCTATGATCAAGGACCAATGGTACTCAAAGAAGAAGTCGAATCTGTACTGAAGGAATTGGCAAAAAACAGGGCTCCATGTATTGATGGAATACCCATTGAGATGTCTCAACAAATGGATGCCATGCTGGTGGTCCTTACTTATCTATGCCAAGAAATTTGGAAGAGAGCCATATGACCAACTGCCTAGAAGAGAGTCATATTTATACCCATTTCAAAGAAAGGTGATCACATAGAATGTGGAAATTATCAAGCAATATCATTAATGTCACATGCAAGTAAAATTTTGCTGGAAACAATTCAAAATGATTGTAGCAGTATGTTGACCAGGAACTTCCAGAAGTGTAAGCTGGATGCAGCAGAAGATGTGGAATGAGGGATATCATAGCTGATATCATATGGCTCTTAGCTGAAAGCAAAGAATACTATAAAGATGTTTACTTGTGTTTTATTGACTATGCAAAAGCACTTGACTGTGTGAATCATAACAAATTATGGATAATATTGAAAAGAATGGGAATTCCAGAACATTTAATTGTGCTCATAAGGAAAGTGTACATATGCTATCATTCAAACAGAACAAAGGGACACTGCTGGTTTAAAATCAGGAAGGGAGAGTTTCAAGGATGTATTCTTTCACCATACTTACTCAGTCTGTATGCTGAGCAAATAATCTGAGAAGTTGGACTATATGAATATGGCATCAACATTGGATGAAGACTCATTAACAACCTGCAACATGCAGATGACATAATCTTGCTTGCTGAAAGTGAAGATGACCTGAAGCATTTACTAATGATGATTAAAGACTACAGTTGGCAATATGGATTACACCTCAACATAAAGAAAACAAAAAATCCTCACATCTGGACCAATAAGCAGCATCACAATAAACAGAGAAAAGATTGAAGTTGTCAAAGATTTCATATAACTTGGAACCACCGTTAACACCAATGGAAGCAGTAGTCAAGATATCAGGCATCATATTGCATTGGGTAAATCTGCTGCAAAAAATCTCTTTAAACTGGTGAACAGAAAAGATGTCTTTTTGAAGACTAAGGTGACCCTGATCCAAGGCACGGTATTTTCAGTTGCCTCATGTGCATGTGAAAGCTGGAAAATGAAAAAAAGAGCGAAGAAGAGGTGATGCTTTTGAGTTGTGGTGTTGGCAAAGAATACTGAAAGCAGCATGGACTGCCAGAATAACTAACAAATCTGTCCTTGAAGAACTGCAGCTGGAATGCTCCTTAAAAGCCAGAATGGCCAGAGTTCATCTTACCTACTTTGGTCATGTTGTGAGAAGGTACCATTCTCTGGAGAAGGACATCATGCTTGGTAAAGTGGAGGGTCAGTTTTGAAAGGGAAGACCCTCGAGAAGGACTGATACAATGGCTGCAACAATGGGATTAGGTATAGCAAGGATTGTGAAGCTGGTGCGAGACTGCCAGTGTTTCGTTCTGTTGTACTCAGAGTTGCTGTGAGTCAGAGCTGACTCGCAAGCAACTAACAACGACAGCACCATCACCAATCCTTCTTCAAAGAGAATATTTAATATTATTGTTCTGAAAATAATGTCATGCCTTATTTAGCATAATGACTTCTTTTATGTACCCTAAGGGAGGCTTTCCTAATATCAAGAAAGGGAATACGTGTAAAGATCTAATCTCCTCAAATCAGCATGCCTAGTGAATTGTAACACACATAGGATATTACTTCATGTGTAAAAGACAGTTACAGTAAGCATACAACACTATCAGGTTTACTCATGTGAATGTCCAATGTAAGGAACAGTATGTTGAGCAAAATGCAACAAGTTATTCATCAAGTATTATTAGAAAATGAAACTACTTCCAGATGGAATTTTTTATTAGGAAATTTCTCTACAACTGAGTGGAAATATAATTATTTCTATTCTAACTGGAGATTATTGAACATACAATAAATTTTTGTAAGTCTTCAACCTGAATCTTGTTGAAAAATTACTTTGGAGGATATAACATACCAGACCTGACAGACATTGTTCAAATGTGATTGTTCAGCAAAGGTAAAGATATATATTATGTATGTGATTTTGCACATGCTACATCATGAAAGCAAACTATATTTGACCCATTTTTGTCTTTTTACTGACAGTATTTTCCAATATTGTCTTATCTGGAAGGAGTTTATTTCTCTCTCAATTCGCTTCCCTAATACAACAACTGCCCTTTGAGAAGCCACAGCTTTTAAACAATGAAGTCTTGAAAAAATGTTATTTATTAGTTGGATTGTTTTTTAATGTTCAGAGAAAATTATATAATAGAGGCTAGAAAATTTTTACTACCATATTTTATGCAAAGAAAGTACATGTTTTATGGTTTTTTTTTTGCAACTACACCCTCCTCCCCACGTGGCACATTCATAAGCACAGTATGCTTTTTTTTTTTATACAGCAACAAGTAAAAACTATAGCAACACTACAGAAATACCTCATGGGGGAGGGTGTTGGGAAAAAAATCACTGAATAGGTGTGTTATTTGTGTAAAAACTAGGCAATATGGGTTGGAAAATACTTTTGATCTGAAACAAAGTATCTGAGAACCACTTGACTTTGGTAATGATTAAACATTATTAAGGTTTATAGACATACTGGTTGAGTTTTGTCAATATCAATGTAAAAATATTGAATGGATTAAGATTTATATGTCAAGTACTAGCTAGGGATGTTGTTGTTGTTCTTGCTATGTGCCGTCGAGTTGGACCCGACTCATAGCAACCTCTCGTTGGGTTTCCAAGGCAGTATCACTATGGAAGTAGATTGCCCAACCTTCCTCCCCAGCTAGGGATAGGGACCAAATTTATTCACCTTTGAATAATGACTACAATTGATATTGTTTTTATTAATAGACTTGGGTTTATGTGATAAGATTATGATAGTTCTGCATTATATAATTATCACAAAAATAGATTATGTTTTGAAGATCGCATTCATTCTGCTAGCATACAAATTACCCTGGGAGAAAACTGGAGAAACATGCTTCTGTATGCCTTTCCCATTCTTTATTGAATTTCCTAGGTACAAGAGTTAAAGTCAGTGGTTGTACAGTTAATTTTTGTTTTATACTATATAGCTAGAACTCCCGTGAGCATTCCGTATGTCTGCTATTCACAACTTAATGAAAATTAGATAGTGAGAGAGACAGACAGATAAAAACCCCAAAAATGTATTGAACTGACTAAAGAACTAGGTTCTTCAATCTATTTTGTATAAACCAAACCAACCAAACTTACTGCTGTTGAGTTGATTTGACTCATAGCAACCCCTTCTTGGGTTTCTGAGGAGGTATCTCTATGGAAGTAGATTGCCCCATCTTTCTTCCGAGGAGTGGCTGGTGGGTCTGAGCCATAAGCCTTTGGGTTAGCATTCAAATGTCTTAGGCACTATGCCATCTTTGCATAGCACACCAAAATAAGAACAAAAACCAAACCCACAGCCATAGAGTTTACTCTGATTCATAAAGTGCCTAGAGGAGAGAGTAGACTTGCTCCATAGAGCTTGCTAGGCTGTAAATAATTATTCAAGTAGACTGCCACATCTTTTTCCCATGTAGCAACTAGTGAAGGAGCTCTGGTAGCGTAGTGCCTAAGGCACTTGACTGCTCACCAGAAGGCTGGTGGTTCAAACCCACCAGTCACTCCTTGGAAGGAAGGTTGGGCAATCCTACTTCCGTAGTGATACTGCCTCGGAAACCCAAGGAGGGGTCGCTATGAGTCG